AGTCGGTCGCCGTCGATTGGAACTCGCCGTCGAGATGAGATGGTCGCCGTCGATTGGAACTCGCCGGCAAGCAACAGTCGGTCGCCATCGATGGGGTTGAAAACCTAGGGCTTTTTTTGACAGATTGAAGCTAGAGGAATCACGAAAAGACCTGACGGGAGGAAGGGGAACGATTGTGAAGGGGAACGATTGGGAACGATTGACAGATTGTGGAGGCGACGTTGTGAAGGAGAACGATTGGGAACGATGATGAAGGTTTTGAGAGGGTAGAAAGGTAAATTATTTCTTGTTCCAGTTAGTTCCATGGGGGAAGGATGGACTAACTTGTCCCACGCGTGTTCCACCTTGTTCCACTTAGTCCCACATAAAACCACACCAAACATGGGACAAATGTGTTCTGTCCTGTCCTGTTCCACCTTGTTCTGCCTACCAAACGCACCCTAAATGAACATAAACAAACGAACACCACTATTTGTCATTCAGTTAACTATTACACACTAATTGTCCATAGTTTAATCATACACAAAACAATAACCATTCATCAACCATCATTAACATACAAAATAAAAAACAAATCACCATCATCATTTGAAAAAAAAAACAATCCCCTCGTCATCATTTGTCAGTTGTCACCTCATGGAAGTTCAATATATATCATATCATTATTAGTTATTATAAGAAAACAAGTATCATAATTGATAAGATTAAGCAAATTACCTTGGTTTTCTTTTTGTGTAGTCCATAATTGATGACGCACCAATCAGCTCCGCAAATGAGCATATCTACCCTCTTCATCCCTAATGAGGCGCAATGAGCATTGATAACTCTCCCACCAACACTAAAAGTTGATTCTGAAGCAACAATAGTGATCGGAATTGCCAAAACATCAGCAACCATTTTAGACAAAATTCTGAACTTCGGATTTTTCTTCTTCCACCACTCCAAGGCATCAAAATATGCACCTGAATCACCAATGTACATGTCTTCTTCTAAATAAATGTCTAACTCTGACTTCACACTTGCAAAAGTGTCCACGCTTTTGATATGTTGATCATACTTTGTCGTGTCACTCTTGATACCAACTCTAGAACTTAACTTGTTATAACCACTCTTAACTCCACTTTCACTCTCGTTAGGTGCACTACTCATTTGAACAACATTAGCTGCTTTATGTTGTTCAACATACTCTTCAAACATTTTAGTAAGAGTATCTTGAACAATTTTCATTTGTTTAGGTGCCTCTTCCGCTGAATAAATGGAACTAAAAGAGAACTCAACCAACTTCTTTTTGTATCTAGGATCTAAAATAGCACCAATGGAAATCAACAGATTACAAGTACCCCAATATTTGTCAAATTTCTTTTTCATCTTAAGAGCCATATCTCTCATGTATTTACTCTCATCTAAAGACAACTCATGTAATGCTTCTTTAATCCCATACAACTCACTAAGAAACAAATTAGAGGTAGGATATTCAGAGCCTATAAAATAAAAGAAGTAAATAAAAGTGTATGAGAATTAGGTGATTAGCTTAAAAAAATGACATATAATGAAAACCATAAAGAAAATCAATAATATTTGAAATTATTTTTGTAACCTCACTGAAAAGCCCGGAGCAAATAACTTCAACTTTCTCTCAATCTTCCGAGGTCGGCAAGGTCTTGTATGTTGATTCTAGATCGGCATAATTCACAAACACTTCTTAAAACTCCAAGGTCGTAGACAACATAACATACGTAGCATCCATCGTGTACTAACATATAAGATCAAATGCTTCTTTGATAAGGTCATTTGTTTGGAAAGTTCGCTAAATATATGCAATCGACCCAAAGAGGCATTCACGTGTTTCACACTCTCACCAACATTGTGAATAATGTCTTTTATTTCCGATAAACCATCTTGAACCAACAAGTTGAGAATATGTGCACAACATCGCACATGGAATAACTTCCCACCAACAGCAAGTTTTTCTGAAGATTCATAATTTCCATCAACTTTGTTAGCCACCACATCATTAGTTGTAGCATTGTCAACCGTCAAAGTAGCAACCTTTATCTCAATATTCCACTCTTTTAAACACTTAAAGAGGGAATCATAGATACATAGTCCAGAATAAGGTGGTGGTACATCAACAAAACTCAATATGCATTTGTTAGGCTTGAAATCAGAATCTACAAAATGACAAGTAACAACCATGTAATGAATATTGTGCACCGACGTCCACATATCAGTTGTTATACTCACACGATTGACAACACTTAACATTTTCTTGATTCTTTTCTTGCCTATCTCATAACTCGCAACACAATCTTGCTTAGCCGATGCACATGAAATTTTGTTAAACCCGGGGTTAGCTTCCTTCATAACCACATTAAATAGTTTATACTCAACAAAATTAAATGGCAACTCATGAACCATAATCATGTGAGAAACAACCTCTCTAATCCTACTATTGTCAAATTTCTAGTTTTGGACCATAGAAGAATCTAATTTCCCCAACACAACCTTTAACTTTAACTGACCTGGATGAATGGTGTTGATGGCTCTTAACTTTGGGCAATCACTAATATGCCTATGCAATGGTGCGGTGGTTCCGTCTTTAAGTTTTTTTTTTATCTTTTCTCCAAAATGGATGCACTCACAAACTTCAGTTCCATCAGCCAACTTCATCAAGCAAAAATGTTCCCAAACTCCTGAAGTCTTCTTTCTTTTCCTTTTAGCATATGGAGTAGATTTTTCATTGTTGACTATGTTGGCCTTTTCTCTACCACCATCAACGGCTGCTGTAACGTCGTCTCCATCATTCAATCCGGTAACAACCACTTCAGGAGTACTTTCCATTATTCATGTGTTGGCACTTGATTCAATTTCGATTAGTTCTTCAGGTGATTGCATTCGATCTAAATAGAAATCATCATGAAAGAAATATGGATCGCTACAAGAGACATCAGACATCTACAAAATGCAAAAAAAACAACTTAAATAATCAAAACAATAATTTAAATTAACTATATAAAACCAACGAAAATTTAGAAAAAACAATAGGAGGGGACTGATTCAACCATCCGTTACTAATCCAAGTGTTTCATCAATTCAACAAAAATTCGATGAATTTATTAACAAGCAAAAAAGGGGTAGATCAGAAATTGGCTACAAAAAGATAAGAGAATCAATCTCTCGATCACAAATTCAGTTGTATTCATATATGAATTACAGTTAAGGTGATGAGATTTGTGAAAAAGTTGGTGCATGCATATAATGGAGGTGAGACTGCATAAATCCTTATGAATAGGGGAAGACTTATAATGTTGGTGGGATGGGTAGAAGTCTAACTAGTGTGCACCTTCACATATATAAAATTCTAAGCTGATGGGCACTAGGAGTGAAGGAGTATCTTCCCTACAAGCCAGAGATCTTGTATCAAGTGTTAGTTTTGCTTCTGGTGGCACTGGGTATAATTCATTAACACCCAAACTATCGTTATGTGTCCATATCTTGCTTTTAGTTGAACTCTTTCCTTCCTGCCATTCCTTTATTTTCTTATTAGATAGTTGTCTTTAGCGCACCCCCAATTGGCTGTACTCTGGTGGTGAGAATGTTAACTGGAGGTGCATTTAGAAAGTGCCAAGACAAGGAAACTAATACAGCACAATTATTCAACAACCTGCTAAAACTAAAGCTCCAAGTTCTTGCAAGCAGTCTTCCTTAATCTAAGAAAATAACGCAGCCCAATTGTTCAACAACATGGTATCAAGGTATACTTTGAGCCAGTGAGTCCAGAGTATAAACACATATTAAAAAAATAATGAGAAACTACATACAGAAATGTAATGGGCGTGAGACAACAATTCATACCCGTCTTTAGAAGAGAAGGCTACGAATTCAGGCATCGTATGAGATTCTAAGAACATATTCAACCAGGAAAAAACATTGGCTATCAAGGACTAAAAAGAGACCGTCCAATACTAAATAAAGATTGTCTAATAAAAAACATTGGCTATCGAACACATTCTAAGCTCCATAATCTCTTCAAAATATTCTTTCATGACGATCCTTTAAGGTAGCAAAGTTGAGAGAACATACCTAGATAGAGACTGTCCCTCCTTTTGCCCTTCACGATTGGCGATTGATCTCCAAGAGCTGCACAGCCTGCACTGCACCTATCCCCTTCTGCTTCTGCCCTTCACGACTAGTTGACCACTCGGTAATACGTGAAACTTGACCTAGACTGTAAGAAACGTGAGTTAGAAGACAAACAGTGAAACAACCCAGCAAAACCCTCTTAAAAAGGCCCAATATTAAAATGTCAAAACCTTCTTAAAAGCCTAATACTTAAAAGGGTTTTTAAAATTTGAATTCAAACTAAATAAATAAAAATTATATATTAAAATTAATATATAAACAAACATAAACGAATATAAACAAACGAACATAAGAACGAATGAGACTCTTGTTCATGTTCGTTCATTTAACTAAACGAACAATTTTTTTTGTTCATGTTCGTTCATATATTAAATAAACGAACTTTCCGTCGAACGGTTCGCTGAACATTCTATTCGTTCGTTTACGGCGCTAGTTCCAAGCTTGTTGGAGCCATTGGCCACCGAGGATAGAGGCCCTAAGGGTTGAAGTTGCCAGTGTCATGTGTTACTTGACCGCGGTTGACATGACCTTAGACCTTAGTAGGTTTTTCTCGGCTCGTGGCTTGGTCTAGGCGTGGTTACTACTCTGGCACCGCTATCGTCGCCTAAGCTAATGGTCCACATCACTGGCTCCTAATCTCCATAAAATAATTACTCACAATTATAATTATAATTATAATTATAATTATAATTATAATAAAAAGTTAAAAAGGGAGCAAGAATAATAACCCAAACTTCTTCTCCATGAAATGGGCCCCACAAGAATCTTATCATCTGCTCACCCATTGGATATCATCCATCCACGTCAACACAGATGGCTAAAAGACCATCAACCTCAAACTTTCCTCCACCACATTCTCTCTCGTATGCCAACTGCAGCTTTCCTCCACCGGAGAAACCCACAACCACCACCACCGGATCACTCTACATGGCTGCTGCAACCGCCACTGCCGCCGCCGCCATAGGCTCTCCATTCTCCAAGTGCAACATAAAATCAAAACCATGGCCTTCCGATCCTATGTTTCTTAGAATAACATCCACAGTACCCATGTTACAAGTCTCATCATCATTATCTCATTCTCATGTTAGAACTGAACCGATACCCATCTCCGGAAAGTGGCGGGTGATGAAAATATCAGCTTCGGTGGCACAAGAAGAGGCGGCAGTAACTGTGGCGGAGGAAACCCCAGAACCAACGGAGGAGGTGGTGGTCAAGGAAGAAGAAGAAGAAGTCTCCGGTGACGGAGATCGAACTGAGGCAAACAGTTCCGTCAATACCAAACTTTACTTTGGGAATTTACCCTATCTTTGCGACAGTGCTCAGCTCGCCGGAATAATACAAGATTACGGTAGTCCGGAGCTTGTTGAGGTACATATATATATATATATATATATATATAGTAGCACATCCACATGCATATATGATTGTTTCATGAACATAAGGAAAATGATTTTTCAAAATGCTTGATTAAGTAATCAAACCACGGAATTTGTCTTGGTTGTCAATGTAAGACTGTTTGTGCAGTGGTCAGAATGAGTAGGATGTTCTCGTAATATAGTAAAAAATGAAATATAATTGTTTGGTAATTGTTTACAATGAAATTAGGACGCTTAATGGTTAAGGGAGACCCATGATGCAAAACCATTGAGAGTTTTAGAATCATTAAGGGGTAGACTTTTTTTTTTTGCTAAACAAGATTTACCTTTTAATGATACAGAGGTTGTCTCTTAATGTAACTGTTAAGAGGTAAACAAACAACCTCATATGTTTCAATTTTTTTTTAAAACATACATAGTTTCAAGATTATATGTTTTCTACTTATTTTGATTTTCATCTTTGTAACATTTAAGAACTCGATCACAACTTTATTGTCCACTTTGCCAGAATACGAGTATTCACGTCATCAAATGTTACAAGGTAGAAGGTTACCGATCAAAATGGATACAAAATAAAAAAAAATTTAAAACTTTATTACATCAATTGAGAAAAAAATTCATAGTTAAACACTACACATAAGAACGAAACAAAACCTTTTTTCTTTTTTCTTTTTTCTTTATGCATTTTACCCTATTAAGTACTTGGTTGCTCAGCTATTTATGAACCAAGTTGATTCTCAGGTACTCTATAATCGGGAAACCGGAAAAAGTAGAGGCTTTGCGTTTGTGACCATGAGTAGCATCGAAGATTGCAAAGCAGTGATTGAAAATCTCGATGGAAGGGTACGTCTTTCTCTTACATTCACATCGTGCATCGGGGTATGCTTAGATGATTTTAAACATGAAGAAAGTTTGATAATTGTTTACAGGAATATGGTGGTAGAACATTAAGGGTGAATTTTTCCGATAAACCTAAGCCAAAAGAGCCTTTGTATCCAGAAACTGAGTACAAACTATTTGTTGGAAATCTATCGTGGTCTGTTACCTCCGAGAGTCTAACAGAGATGTTCAATTCACATGGTAATGTAGTTGGAGCACGGGTTTTGTATGATGGCGAAACTGGAAGGTCTCGCGGATATGGGTTTGTTAGTTACTCCACAAAATCCGAGATGGAGACGGCCCTTCAAGCTCTTGATGGAATGGTAATAAATAATAGCTCTAGAGAGAACAAAATCCACATGTCACCTATCTGTCCACCAATCATTTTAAGACACGTTATTACTTTATTGAAAAAAGAGAATAAAAGAAGATTTAATGAAAAATTAATATCAAAGTAAGTAAATAACCTTCTTGTTTTAACAGGAGCTAGAAGGGCGATCAATGCGAGTTAGCCTTGCAGAAGGGAAAAAGCAGTAAAATGATCAAGATTTCAAGATCGAGATTAATTGAGTTGTTTTGTGGAGAAACTAAGAGATAGAGGATTCCGGGGTTTGATAGTTTGTCTGTTTAAAACTCACTTTCGATGTGCACACTGCATACTCTTCCCGTTGTACCCTTTCGAGAAAACAAAGAAACGAATTGACAACAATATCGACAATGTGAATACCGGTTTGCTTAGGTCACAATCATTATGTTTCTCATTCACATTATGTAGCTATAATACATTGATTGAAAATTGGATTTATGAGCTCTTTATAGGTTCAAAGTTGTATGCTACTAATAACTTTTAACATGGTTTTAAAATGATTAGAAGTTTAGTCTCTTGTTTTGAGCAATAAGACATTACAATATTGGTCGTTCGTTTCTTATAATGCAAGTAGAGAATTCTAATCCTAAGGTGGTGTTTGGTTGGCCATAATACAACAAAATCTAAACCAATTGGAAATGCTGAATTTCGTTCATGGGTTTACTATGAATTTTCAATTCCACATATGTCGGCATATAAATTCCAATTTCCTTTTATCCCATCTTTCGAGAAAACTCCATTTTGCGATTATAATTACTCTACACCATTCATCGCCACCCCCATCATCTTTGGTGTTGTGCTCACCATATAAATTTTTGACCATTGTCGTCCTTATGATTTGTTAAAAATTGCAGATTTCATCCATGTTGTTTCAAAATTTTGATCATCATCTTTATGATTTATAATTCATTTTTATTGTTCGTCCCTAAATCCAAAACATTACTTTTAAATATAAATAACTAAAATAAAAATTGATTATACGAAAAAAAAAAACAATAAATTTTAAATCATAAAAAATGAAAAATTAAATCATAAGGATGAAAATTGTAATTTTAAAATCATGAAAATGAAAATATCAATTTTCAATAAACTCAAGGACTAAAAACGTAATTTTCCATTTTTATGTTTGCTTCCATAAGGGTGAGAGACCTTTGATCCTAGAAAATAGGAAAACATTCCTAAATTAGTCACACTTTTCTTTTCCATTTTTATATATGTTGATTCGACAGCCTTTGGTTTCTTGCCTCGTCTCGCTTTCCCGGTGGCCCCACTCATTCCCTTGTCGTCGTCGTCTCGCCGTTGTACGGCGGGGTGGATTCTTTTATCTTCCCATCCATCGGACAACGATTAACAACTGTTTAAACGATCATTAGTCAAAATGGCGCCGGCGAAACCACATCAATTGTTGGAGATCACCATTATGTCCGCCCAAGATTTGCAGCCGGTTGCCAGAAAGATGAAGACCTATGCCACCACCTGGCTCCATGACAACCATAAGCTCTCCACTCGCATCGACAACAAAGGTGGCAACAATCCCACCTGGAACGATAAGTTTGTGTTCCGGGTGGACGACGAGTTCCTCCGCTGCGAGGCATCGACGTTGACCGTTGAGATCTACTCCACCCATTGGTTCCGTGACTCCTTAATCGGGACCGTTCGGGTTCTCGTCGGCAATCTTGTACCACCTTCTCAATCGTTTAAACCCCCCTACAATGGTGGCATGCGATGCGTGGCCCTCCAGGTCCGTCGCCCTTCCGGCCGTACGCAAGGGGTATTAAACATCGGAGTGGCGGTGCTCGATAGCTCCATGAGGAGCTTGCCTTTGTACCGGCAACTGAGCGCCTCGGCTGTCGGATTTCGTGATTTAATGGGAATGGAAGACGATGAATCCCAATATGATCCCAAGGACCCAGTACCATTTGTAAAGCCAAAATTGTTCAGATCAAAAAGCGAAAAAAGCTCAATGCTCGATGGTAGCTCCGTCGCAAACAGCTCGATGGTAGCAGCTCCACTTAAGATCCAAAAACAAGGATCCATGTTAAGTGAATCGGAGCTCTGGGGATCATTAATGGCCAATGGTAAAATTGGGAAATCAAGCTCCGTTATAAGCGGTGCAGAACCCCAAGAAAAATCCAAATCCAAACCCAATGGAAAGCTAAAGAAGGCAAATTCTGTCATTAGCAGTTCCACTTCTAATACAAACTACATATTCCGGCCACCACCAAAGCCGTATTCTATGTTATCGGGATCGGAGATCGAACCTTCATCATCGGAAGCCATGTCAACGATGGAAAGAAGATACCCATTAGAAGACGACATGAATAGTTCCATATTGGACAGTTGGAGCTTAAATGAAAGCGAGGAAGGATTAAGGTCGAAACTTGATAGATGGAGATCGCAACTTCCACCATTATACGATAGGAGGTTCTCATCGACCACCTCCAGCACAATTAGCAGGCGTAAAAAAAGGCATACTGATGGGGGAGACAATGGGGTATTCTCAATATTTTGGAATATATGTGGGTATGAATGCCAATGTGTTTGCGGTCAACCATCATCGGCCAAGACCACCAAGGCCAAGCCCCGGAATCCGCGACTTAGAAGCAGCTCATCGATCGAAAGTGGCAGCAATCGCAGCAATAGCAGCATGTCCTTCTAGTCGAGATTCAATGAATCATTTGACTTAGATTTTGTTTCCGAAAGCATATTTTTGACCAAAAATGTGTAAAGGCTCGCACTTTCTGGATAAATAAAATCCAATTTACATGAATAACAGTGTACTTTTAATCGTCATATATCATAACTAATAACAAAATTGTATCGATGAACAAATGTAATGCTTGGACGAGCTCAATACAGAAACTTTTTTGGATCGGTCACGAAACCAATCAAAGCCGAAGCTGCAGCAGTGTAATGAGAAGCTAGATAAGATCTGACCTTCTTTGTGCCCCATTCGACCTGGAAAGTTCTGATCAGTGGTTGACAAGAAGACCTGTCATCATCAACCATCCGGAAATGTCAATACAGGCAAATACTTGATGAGAATTAGGCTATTCAAACGCTGAAACTAGCTAGTCATTTATAGTAAACACTAGTTGATAAGTGTTGGTCCCGTAAGGGTCTACAAGAAGAGAAACAATTTGTAGAAGGGGGGGGGGGATGAATACAAACACAATATTTTCAAATTTAAAATATATATTGATAGAGAAGATCAATACAGATTTTACAAGATTGTTTGCGGAAAGATAAGGTAATAAAAACCTATCTAAACAATCTTTGGTTACACACAAAGCTTTAGCAATTACAAAAAAAGAAGTTGCTTAAAGAAATATCCTTTACTTAAGCTAGAAGATGCTTGAAGTAAGAATAAGGTTAGAGAGAGATGCGCGCTCTCTGCATGGAGAAGAAACACTTCTATTTATACCCAGTGCATTAAATGTCCATTTAATGCAATATGGTAGGTTTAGAGTGCATGTCAAACCTTAAGAGGAAGGCTTGTCCTTTGCTACAGTGAATAGTACAAAAGCACCATTTCTGAGCAGACATCCTTACCTAAAGTTGGTAGACAAAGAGTCGACTAATCGGCTCCGTACCGTACTAACTTTTGTAAGGGTATGGGTTTTGTACTTTGTGTGCATAAGGACAAAACAACAACAATCGTGCTAAGCAAGCTTCCTTTCATCGTTGAATGTTGGAATGACCTGAAGGTCTCATCATCATTCGTTGAAGCTAGAGCAGTCTTCACACATATGTAGACAGGCTTGTAATCACTGAATACCGCTTCAGATCACGTACTCGCC